AGCCTGGAAATAGGCTAGTCAGTGGTGAAATCCTGCCAGTTCTGTCCAGTTCGCGCGAACCGGTAGTGCCGGCGGCATGTGGTTTGATGAACTGGTAGCGGCGGTAACACGAGGCTCCGCCCACCCACCCAGACGTCATTACTTCCTGGCTTTAACCCTCTGCACATGTGCAAAGCCTTCTGTGCATGCGCAGAGGGTCAAAAATCAGACGTGACAATGGGGCAAGGGGAGCGAGTGCACGCACGCGATGTGCACACTTCTGAACCAGTAGGGAAGGTAAGTAGATTTCACCCCGTGGCTAGTTCTACTGCATGAGAAGCAAGGAAGAAATTCTTGCTAACTCCTGTAATTGAATGGGGGGCAGGATATCTCCTCTCCTCAAACTTTCCCTTTTTTCCCTTTATTTATTTGCTTCTGTTCCCACACAAAATATCCTTGAATATTGCTAGGATCCTGTTTCAATTTGTTTAATGTGCCTTCAGAACTAGGCACTTCAGTGCCTAATCAGGGAACCTGAGGGTCAGTTTGCTATAGTGGTTAAGGCACCAGGCTAAAAACTGGGATAATGGGAATTCTAGTCCTGCCTTGGGCACAAAGCCAACTGGGTAACCCTGGGCCAGTCCCTCCTTCTTGGCCCTAAGAAGAAGGCAATGGCAAGCCACTTCCAAAATCTTGCCAAGAAAACTGCAGGGAATCTCCCAAAACAAAGTGGGTTTAGCAGCTTTCTGACCCCAACTACAGAGACAGCAGTAGCTTTGCTTCCCAAGAAATCCCTATTATTTTTTATGGATGAACTAATTTCTAGTTTTGAAGCCTCGTTAAGCTTGGATTTACACAGTTTAAACCTAATAGAGCGGTGTTTCTCAACCTTGGAAGCTTGAAGATGGGTGGACTTCAACTCCCAGAATCCTCCAGCCAGTGCTGCTGGCTGGGGGATTCTGGGAGTTGAAGTCCACCCATCTTCAAGCTACCAAGGTTGAGAAATGCTGTAATAGAGGAAGGTATTAGCTGGGGAGTAGAACAGGAGAAGAGAGCCAGTCTAGTGGTTAAGCACCGGAATAGAGACCAGGAGACCAGTGGTGGTCGCTCCTGGTTTGGTCCGGTTCTATAGAACCGGTAGTAAAACCGGTGGGAGGCTCCTCCCACCCGCCACGATGTCATCATGGGTGAACTGCGCATGAGCAGAAGCACACACGAGCGAGCAAAGCGCACATGCACACGCGGTCCCATTGTGAACCGGTAGTAAAGATAATTAGAACCCACCCCTGCAGGACACTGTGAGTTCTAGTCCTGCCTTAGCCATGAATGCCAGCTGGGTGACCTCTGTCTCACTCTCTCACCCTAGGAAGAAGGCAATGGCAAACGACTTCCAAAATCTTTCCAAGAAAACTGCAGGGATCTGTCCAGGCAGTTGCCAGGAGTCAACACTGACTCAAAGGTGCATGTACATACACACACACACTCATACATGTTAAGATCTTGGTCTCTGGTTTTCAAAAGCTGGAGTTATCAGAAAAGTCTTGCTGAAACAAGCTAAGATATCGACTTAGAAGTTCATTGCTGTTGAGGGTGCCTGTTGAGGATGGTAATATTGAGGAAAGGTGCCCCCAACCCAGAAATACCATTGAAACGTTAAAACCAGAGGTGGTAGTCAGCTGGTTCTGACCGGTTCTGGCGAACCGGTAGCAGAAATTTTGAGTAGTTCAGAGAACCTGCAAATACCACCTCTGGCTGGCCCTGCCCCCATCTATTCTCTGCCTCCCGAGTCCCAGCTGAACGGGAGGAAATGGGGATTTTGCAGTAACCTTCCCCTGCCATGCCCACCAAACCATGCCCACCAAGTCATGCCACGCCCACCAAGCCACGCCCACAGAACCGGTAGTAAAAAAATTTGAAACCCACCACTGGTTAAAACCTTTCATGGACCTTTGCCTTCATGAATTTAGCCCTGCCCCTCTTTGTTGTTGTTGTTAGTTGCGAAGTCCTGTCCAACCCATCGCGGCCCCCTGGACAACGTTCCTCCAGGCCTTCCTGTCCTCTACCATCCTTTGGAGTCCATTTAAACTCACGCCGACTGCTTCAGTGACTCCGTCCAGCCACCTCATTCTCTATCGTCCCCTTCTTCTTTTGCCCTCAATCTTTCCCAGCATTAAGCTCTTCTCCAGTGAGTCCTTCCTCCTCATTAGATGGCCAAAGTATTGTACTAGCCCCTCTTAAAGCCATTCAGGTTAATGGCCATCACCAGGATATGCAGTAATGAGAGGTCCTTGGTGCTCTCTGAGCTTGTTTTCTTACAGATATTTCATTACCCAACTAGGTAATGTCATCAGTGCTACCAGTAACAGTGTTAGTTTGGGTAATGAAATGTCCTGCAAGGAAACATCCAAGCTCAGAAAGCACCAAGGACCTCTCACTTCCAGCTACAAATATTCTTCTTTATCGGTGCAGAAATGAATTTTACAGAATAATGGCATGGAAATTCCGACGTGATATTAAATATCATCCTCTACGTCTGGCTTCCTTTGAAGGGCGCTGTCCAAATTTGGCTTGGCTGGCTGGCTGGGAAAGGGAGTCACGGTCCAACACATCTGGCAGGGCCCAGGTTGGGGATGGTAACTGTGCAGGCTGCATCTGGGGGATGGAGCTGCATTTAAGCAGCCACCTTGGCTATGTGGAATACAACTCTCCCTTTCACAGAAGATTAAGAAACACTGATTAAAAACTTTTTGCCTCTTTGACAAGGAGCCCCAAGCAGTATTAGCTACCCTTCATGCAATGCTTGGCATTTTCATTTGGTCCAAAAATCCATACCCTCCCCCCTTCTTCCCTCCCCCTAACCCTCCAGTGACACCAAAGGTTTCTCCTTTTATGGACTGGGTTAGCAAAAAGCAGCTCGTACGTTTTTCTGAGAGTTGGTGCTGAGAGAGGCCGGTTTCTGGAAGCATCCCAAGGTGGGAAGTCCTTTAAGGAAATGCCAGCTGGAAACCAGACTTTCTGAAGTCTGGTGCTTCTGAGGTCAAGAGAGAGACCCAGCTTGGCCAGTTGGTGGCTCCAATTCTGGCTTGCAGATCAGAACTCTCCTGATTCGACACCTGCTTCGAAGAACAGCCCCAGATTCAGCAGGGAAGAAATTCTCTCCCATCATTTTGAAAGAATAATCCCACCTTTTCTGAACTGATTGTTGACAAAATTAAGATTGTTGTTTCCATTTCATCCACTTTAGCCTGTGGCTGTATTCATATAACCGCCCAGAGTCCCTTGGGAGTTGGGCGGCATAGAAATGTGACAAAATAAATAAATAAATAAATAAACAAACCCTCTGAACTGGGACAGTGAACAATCTAGCTGTGATTCAATTTCTGAAACCTAGTTGATTTTCACTTGTTTTTTTTTTTTTTTCCCTCTAACGCAGCTGAGTGGTGGTGTGAATCCAGGCTGTTCCTTGGTTTAGGACTCAGCATCTTGGCTAAATCCAGAAATCGGTTCCTCAAGGAACTGTATTGAGCAGTTTGTATGAAAGGCAGTCAGTGGAAATGAGACGGATGGCAGCTGAAACTCCAGTTTCAAAGCTGTCGTGCCCAGTTCTGTTCAGTGTATCTGTGTGGCTCGGAGTAGTCAGGAGCCCCGGGCACTTGGGAACGCACATAATTCAAATTCCTCTCCATTCCAAAGTTTCTCCCCTTTGCTCCCAACCATAAACAGACCCACAGGCCCTACTTGGAAGTACACCCCACCCTAGACCTTTAAGGCAGTCATTGGCCTTATGGCCTTCATTCCTTTTATAGGACCTCTAAGCTCATTTCAGAGGGGGAAGGCATTGGAAACAAGGGTGGGGCAAGAGAGGGAGAATCGGGAGAATGGAAAGAATGGAAAAAGAGATGAGGAGATGTGCCTTGCCTTCATTTTGTCTTTTTTTTTTTAATACCATGGAACTACAACACCCAGAGTCCCCACTCTTAAGCGTTGGCAGGGAATTCTCAGAGCACAACTTCCAGATCTATTATGTAGAGATCAGCAGTTTTGCAGCCCTTCAAACTCATGGGCATCGCACTGATTTGGGGAGGACTGTCCCTTCTACACACAGTACTTGCCAGCTGTATTAAGTTACAGTTCTCGTTATTCTTCAGCCAGCAGAATCACTGAGTGGGTGTTGTAGTCCAATACCTCTGGAAGGGATTCCGATTAAAAAAGGCTGCTTTGGACTGCACATTGACTCATTAACCCACAACAAGCCCAAGGTTAGAATCTGGTTTCCCCTGAACAGATGGTGGGTTGAGAAAAGTTCTTGAACAAACCAGGTTTGTTGCTTCTCTTCAACCCCCTATTTGACTGGGAGGTGGGAAGCTACCATGTTACATTTCCCAGAGCATCCAGCATCACATAACTCCAAGGCATGATAGGAGATTAAAAATGGGAAGATTTCGATTAGGGGTGTCCAACCTTGGCAACTTTAAGACGTGGACTTCAGCTCCCAGAATTCTATACTGGCTGGGGAATTCTGGGACTTGAAGTCACAAATCTTAAACTTGCCAAGGTTGGACACGCCTGATTTAAATGAGGACTTTCTAACCCACTTTGCCATTTTCTCTGGCCATCCAGTAACATGGGGGACCACGACCACCTCCAGAGCTGGCCCTGATCCAGACTGTTTGAACTTTTAACCACAAGGAGTCCCTTTCTATTTTTCCAAGGAAGTGCTGCAAAATTTCTTCCAATGTATTGTGGGATTCTGGTTCATTTTTTTGGGCTCTTGTGGGAATACAGTTAGTCCTTGACTTGGTAACATTTGTTTAACAACCATCCAAAGTTACAATAGCACTGGAAAAAGGGACTTATAACCAATCCTCGTGCTTACAACCATCACAGCATCCCTGCAATCACTCATCAAAATTCAGCACTTGGCAACCAATGTGTATTCACAACAGGTGTAGCATCCTGTCTGCCAGAGCAAAACTGAGAGAAGAAACAGACTGAGAGCCCAAACAAAACTAAAGTCTTACCATAGGTTGCAATTATCACGGTAAGTTGCTCCAGCATGGAACTTGATACCATTGCGAATGCAGTCTGGGGGGGGAAAAAAGATGCCAGAACAAAGAGAGTTAGTCTACAGAACTCTATATATTGTAAGATGGCGCAGCATTTAGACCAGAACTGTCCAACCTTGGCAACTTTAAGATTTATGGACTTCAACTCCCAGAATCCCCCAGCTGCCCATGCTGGCTAGGGTATTCTGGGGGTTGAAGCCAGTGGTGGGTTTCAATTTTTTTTACTACCGGTTCTGTGGGTGTGCCTTGGTGGGCGTGGCATGGCTTGGTGGGCATGGGAGGGGAAGGATATTGCAAAACCTCCATTCCCACCCCACTCCAGGGGAAGGATACTGTAAAATCTCCATTCCCTCTCCGATCCAGGTGAAGGATACTGCAAAATCCCCATTTCCTCCTGATCAGCTGGGACTTGGGAGGCAGAGAATAGATGGAGGCGGGGCCAGTCAGAATTTTTACCACCTGTTCTCCAAACTACTCAAAATTTCTACTACCGGTTCTCCAGAACTGGTCAGAACCTGCTGAAACCCACCTCTGGTTGAAGTCCACAAGTCTTAAAAGTTGTCACGGCTGCGGACTCTAATTCAGATTAATTTTTTGAAGAGGCAGCAAAGTCCTTGTTCTGTTATTAGCCAAAATCATGGATATGTGCGTATGTATGTATGTATGTATGTATGTATGTATGTATGTATGTATGCCTGTGGCATCACATGCATCATGTAATGGCACAAATGGCATGAATTGTGTGGTTGATATCAGTTGCAAGGCAAATTACACCATCTGGATGACTTTTGCAATGGCATCACAATGCCAGTGAGGCCGCCACAGTTTGTCCTGAATGCTTATGATACAATGGCTTGTGGAAAACCTGGCTTATTATGGGGTGATCTTTCATTCAGGGGAACTAGAGGTTGGAGACTTTCCCCTTTGGCAGGCAATCTCTCCCCTCCTGCATCTGGAATACACTGTTCCTTAGAACAGTATTTGCGCAGGTGGTAGCCTCTGGGCGATCACTTCCAGGATTCCAAGCAACAGATCCTGGACATTCCAGAGCAGTGGTCTCCAACCTTGGCAACTTTAAGACTTGTGGACTTCAACTCCCAGAGTTTTCTAATTTTGGCCTCCCACTCCCTTTTTCATCTGAACAATTACTTATAGTTTCAGGACCCCACTCCCTCATAAATATACATGGATCAGAAAAATGCCTGAGCTTTTTAACCTATCCAAAGGGTGGTGGGAAGCTTGTAAAAGTTAAACTGTATTTAAAACCCCACCATTATTCAACAAGGTTGGGTGGAAATGGATCCAAAGTTTGATTTGATCCAAGACTTCCACCCAGAAAAACATTTTGAAGGTTAAACTTCGGTCTTGAAAATGTAAAGGGTTGTACTGAGACCTCAGCTGCATGGAACAGGACATCTTTCAATCACAGAATGTTCAAATCCAATTTAATTTTTAAATTCCCTGGCTTAACTTTTGGGAACTATTTCTCTACAGTTCTCAGAAGAGTGGTAGACCAGACAGGCATTTCCTTACCTGCAGGATTTTTTTGCCTAATAACTTATTATGGTTTGCCGCATAGTCAGTCAGATGTTTAGATTGGGTTACACTTCAAGACACCTGTTACTATTGATATTACCTTTGCTTTCTTTTGCCACGATCATTCTACTATTTGCAGATTTTTAGATTTTGTTACTTTCTCTATTCTTTCTCTTCTATTCTGCTATCTCTTAAAGCAGCATTCGGGTAAATATCCTGGGTTTAGAGAAAAGGCAGATTGCTGAGAGCATCACTTCCAGCCTCTTCATTAGGAATCCAGTAGAAAGAGAGCTATTGTACCAAAGCAAGAAAATCAGATTTTCCTTATTGGGGGCCAAGGAAGATGAAGGTTGCTGCAGAAGTGACTTGTATCCATGGTGGGACTGATTGTGGTTGTTGGAAAGGCTGTTTCATAAACCCAGGAATGACCTCTGAAATGTGGGTGGGTGGAAACCCATATGGATTTAGCAAGCAACAATACAACTATACATTCACACTGCTCAATTTTTGAACTTATTTATAAAGGTTTATAAATCCTAAGGGTGAACACTCCTTAAACAAAAATGAGTGACTAGTTTGTAATATTATATATCAATTAAATAATAGTTGTGATGCCCCTCCCCTCCACAACATGTCAGTTTCTCTCATTGTCTTTTAACGGATGCATTATTTATTTTTAATCCTTAGTGAGCCACCAGAGTTGTTCACAAGTCTGTAGCTTTAAAAATTGAAATAATAAATAAATACAAAGCTATATTACTGTACTACTATTGCAGAAAAGAACATTATAAATCTTTTAAAAAAAGAAAAACCAAGTAAAAAGGGAAAAAAATATAAAACAAAACTTCTTTTAAAAAGTACATTCGCATACACACAGAGAGGGCAAAAAAGTATATTGAATGGCAAGTGTGGAATTCTTTGTGCTTTCCAAGTTTCTTCTTGGTAGACACTATCAAGAAGAAAACCACACTCCCATCCAATGCTGAAAGAGCAAATCTGTTATATATAAACAGACAGCAAACCTCACTCCCTTTCAGCACTGATGTTATTACCTAGTTGGGTAATGAAACATCTGCAGGAAAACAACCAAGCTCAGAGAACACCATTGGCCCCACAGTTCATCCCCGAACTACAAATATTCTCTTTTATTGAATTGCAAGTATAAACAAACAAACAAACAACTAATGGCAAGTAACAGCCCAGGATAAGACTGGTGGTAAGAGAAGGTGTAAGACTATAAGATTTAAAGACCTTCTTTCCATTCTGATCAGTCCTGCATTCACCATTAGAGTAAGGATGTGCTTAGGATACCAAGGGAAAGGGAAACCACAGAGTCCCCCCCCCAATCACGCCATCACTCTGCTAAATAAATAATTCCCTCAATACTGTCAAATTAGTTACTAAGTCTGCATTACTATTAATCTTCTCATCGTTCCTATCACCCATCTCCTCCCGCTTATGACTGTATGACTGTAACCTTGTTGCTGGTATCCTTACGATTTATATTGTTTCCCTATGACTATCATTAAGCGTTGTACCTTATGATTCTTGACGAATGTATCTTTTCTTTTATGTATATTGAGAGCGTATGCACCAAGACAAATTCCTTGTGTGTCCAATCACACTTGGCCAATAAAGAATTCTATTTATTCTATTCTATTCCATTCCATTCCATTCCATTCCATTCCATTCCATTCCATTCCATTCTATTCTATTCTATTCTATTCTATTCTATTCTATTCTATTCTATTCTATTCTCTATTCTTTATTCTTTTTCTAATTCTAATTCTAATTCCGTTCCATTCCATTCCATTCTATTCTATCCTCTATTCTTAATTCTAATTCTAATTCTAATTCTATTCTAATTTTTTCACCGTTTTCAGCCCTGAAGGAATCTTAGCATCTTGTCACTTAACCAATGGAAGGGCCAAGGGGAACAGGCTTGGGGTATCCATCAGTTGGCCTTAATCCAGACCTTATTCTGATTCAGCAGGAAATTCCTGCAGTACCTTCAAATCAGGTGTAACTTCAGATCCACAGCTTACCTTTCTGCACTGGATATGGTGGTTCAATGCCCAAACAGTATTCCCAAAAATCAGGGCAACAGTCAGAGATGGTTCGGTTGCAGAAGAGATCACAGTAGCAAAGGGTATCAAAGTAGGGGATGGTGCAGGCGTCATCCCTCCCATGACAACAAGCATCCTGCCGGCCACAGTACGAGCCTTCTGCATCCCGTATCCCCTGTTCGTGCAATCCAGGTGCCAGTTCCCTCCGTGTACGATGCACCCGAGCAGGAAGAGTCTCACCCATCAACAGCAAGGTGCACAGAAGAATCCAGCTTTTCATGGTGTCTTCTGAGTTACTGAATCCCAGGTGTTCTGGAGAGAGGAGACAAATAAATCTGGAATCACATAGCACAACTTCTACCTAGCCCAGTCTGCTAAGAACAGACCCCCTTGGAAAGATATGAATTGCCCACAGGTGAACTGGAAAGCACTGGGAGAAGCATTGATTCTTTTGCAAGTATGTTTCCTAAACTGGATCATCAGGAAGCAGAGGGCAAATATTCTCCTAAGAAATTTTGCTAACTATAATCACATACAACCTGAGGTAAATCCTTCAAGATAGATCAGACCAGGAATTCAATAACATGCAGGTCAAATGTTTTTGTTGTAAAGCTATAGGAATAGAATCTTTTTGTCTGAATATGTTTCCCCCTCCCTCCCTTTATCTTTGGGAGAACTAGGAAGGGTCCTGTGTGAGATGCTTCCTCAAGTTACATTCCTGTTCAAACTCAAGTTCCTTTTATCTGGACAATATCTTGGTAGCAATTTTTCCTCCTGTCCCTCAAGGCCATTTCCTCTTTCTTCTACTCCTGGTTTTCACCTGGATTAGAAATTCCAGGACAATAGGGGAACCAACTACCTGGAAGGTAGGACTAGCCCATTCGTTCTGTATTACAGCCATCAAAACTACATGAAGGCATCCCTGTCAGGTGCAAGCAACCAGATCCATATATGAAGGGTTCAGGTTCATTGTATTTTACCTATAATACAAGAATCTCCCCAGGCTACTTGCCTTCTCTTGTGAATAAACAGATAAGGACCCATGGAATCTGCCTTCCATTGAGGACCTGTATACTGCCCGAGTCAAAAAGAGGGCTGTGAAAATATTTATAGACCCCTCGCATCCTGGACATAAACTGTTTCAACTCCTACCCTCAAAACGATGCTATAGAGCACTGCACACCAGAACATTAGACACAAGGACAGTTTTTTCCCAAACGCCATCACTCTGCTAAACAAATAATTCCCTCAACACTGTCAAACTATTCACTAAGTCTGCACTACTATTAATCTTCTCATCGTTCCCACCACCATCTCCTCCCACTTATGACTATATGACTGTAACCTTGTTGCTGGTATCCTTAAGATTTATATTGACTTTTTCCTAATATGATTTGATTGCTTATTTGTTCCCTATGATTATCATTAAGTGTTGTACCTTATGATTCTTGACAAATGTATCTTTTCTTTTATGTACTCTGAGAGCATATGCACCAAGACAAATATCTTGTGTGTCCAATCACATTTGGCCAATAAAAATTCTATTCTATTCTATTCTATTCTATTCTATTCTATTCTATTCTATTCTATTCTATTCTATTCTATTCTATTCTATTCTAAGAGGGTGTCAAACCTTGGTCTCTTGCTGCTGTGCAACAACTCAAGACTAACTCCCCGCTTGATCCCTCCTCCTTGCCTGGCTGGGAGTTTCCCGACAGTCCAGGGAGTCACCAGGAGTTAAGGTCAAGAATACCTTTGCTTCTAACCAAATATTCTACAAGTCCCCCTTGGAGTCTCTTGTCCTGTCCTTTCTAGCACTTTAGCATGGGTAAGTTTTCGGTGAGTGTTTTACCTATAAAATTCCAAATCCGGCCTTAATCATTGTCATGTCCATCGCTGGCCCCACCATGTCTCTTGAGCACTGGCTTCCTAACCAGCTCTTCAAAAGAAAGATTATATTCAGGACATTGTCCTGTTTACACAGTCACCCAGAAAAGCAAGCAAAAAGTTTGAACTCTCAACCTGAAAGAGCTCACTTGAACTGGGAGGGGAAAAGATACTCAGAAGCTGGTATGTCACAGCAAGTTAATTCTATTACTCTTAGGCTCCTTCAGCTTCTCACTTTACCTTCACCAGTTGGTTGGTTTCAAAATTTTTGTACTACCAGTTCTGTGGGCGTGGCTTGGTGGGCATGGCAGGGGAAGGATACTGTAAAATCCCATTCCCTCCCCACTCCAGGGGAAGGATACTGTAAAATCCCCATTCCCTCCCCACTCCAGGGGAAGGATACTGCAAAATCCCCATTCCCTCCCCACTCCAGGGGAAGGATAACTGCAAAATCCCCATTCCCTCCCCACTCCAGGGGAAGGATACTGTAAAATCCCCATTTCCTCCTGATCAGCTGGGACTCGGGAGGCAGAGACTAGATGGGGGTGGGGCCAGTCAGAATTTTTACTACCGGTTCTCCGAACTACTCAACATTTCTGCTACCGGTTCTCCAGAACTGGTCAGAACCTGCTGAAACCCATCTCTAATGTGAACTAATCAAAAAGCAGAAAACTACAAACCTAGAACACCCAAATAAACCTGCTTGGGGGAAAGGTGTTCGTACAGAAGAAAATCTGGGCTTGAAGTCCTGCATCCCCTGTTTCGGAAGCCATGTGCCAGGTAGCCACTATCTCCACCCCTTTCCAAGGAAAGCCTCTCCTGCCCTTCCCCAACTTCCCCAAACCTTCCCCTCATAAGGAATGAAGACCTCCTGGATGATCTCAGCCTGTAGCAATGCAGTAGAGTCACCAATTCCAAAAGCAGAGGCAGCAGCGGTGGCCACCAACTCCGGAGGAAGGAGCTAAAGGTCAAAAGCCAAGGAAGGCATTTCCTCTGCCTTTCTCGTCCACCTTTCACTTGGTCTTCCGGGATGCAGGGGGAGTCCCACCGAGCTTCGAGTTTCATTTTGATTAACTTTGCTCCCTGACCTCTCTCAGCAAAGTCCAAGGCAACCGAAGGTTTGCTTTTATACACATGTGCCTTATCTGCCCCGACCAGCAGTGTGAACTGTGGGATCTCTGGCTTCAGAGGTATGTTCAAGCTCAGAAAGGATTCGTTTCTTTCTTTCGCTTCATTTCAGAAGCATTTTGACAGGGGCAGCAGGAATATGCAGCAATCTCAGAAGTCTAGACTGATCTACTAGAGACCTCCCAAGTCCCTCTGGTGACCCAAGGAAGGTTTATAGAGTTCTTAAAAGCTGCACTGATGGCCATCTAGTCAACAGGTCTGTTTTGCTGCCCCACCCAGCTACACCGGATGAAGGAAATCTACGCCTGGCCGGCCACTCAAACATCAGCTGCATGTTTTAAACTGAATACATGGCAATCTGTCTAAGTGCTCAGAGTCCACCTCTACTTGAATGCTTAACTAATATGGATTTAAAAAAAAAAAAAAAAAAAAACCCAATTCTGAAGCTTTAGAATAGCACTGGGAAAATGGTTTATAAAATGGGGAAATGCCCTTCTAAAATGCTTTGCATGCCACTTCTGTCACCTTGGGAGAAAGGTAAGTGTATTCTTTCTGAAATGATTCTCCTAACCTTTTGGTTTTTTTAGATCTTGATGAGCTTCCTCTGACAGAAAGGGGATAAAAATCAAGGACATCATCATTTAGGGCTGATCGATCAATCCATTCTTTTGTTTCAGTACTCCTGAGTCTTAAAGAAATGCATGGGGTATTTTTATTCAATAAAGGAGAATATTTGTAGTAGCTCAAGGTTGAAATGAAGGGTCCTTGGTGCTCTCTGAGGTTGGCTGTTTTCTTGCAGATGTTACCCAAACTAGGTAACAACACTCACTGGTGATATTACCTAGTTTGGGTAATGAAACACCTGCAAGAAAACAGCCAAGCTCAGAGAGCACTAAGTACCCCTCATTTTAGAAATGCCTTTCTCCAATATTGTTACTGGCAAGTAGCGTTGCATTCTTTCTTGCCTGTTCAGCATTTTAATCACCTGCTGTGCCCATTTAAGCCAGTTCCGCTTGATCAAACACCAGGGCTGGGTTCACACACTGCCCTTCACCTGCTTTCAGAATTAACCCATTTTCGGGAAGGAGAATCACCCAATGCACTATTCCTGAAACGATCCAAATTGCTTGGAGTTCGCACAAGGCGCTCAGCTATCTCAAAAAACGAACCGTTCACATTCACCAAGCTTGGCATAGAGCAGAAAAAGCAAAGGCAGTTTTGTTTTTTTTTTAAAAAAAGTTAAGGTTAGGCGTGCTTGAGACTCCAGCCAAGAGACCACACCTTCACAAAGCTCCAGAAGGAACAGAGATTTCGGCTTTGAGGGGGTCCAAACCGGAAAACTTTGCAGTGGAAAATCAGGAGTTTTCTTTCTTTTATTAAAAGGCACCAGCGCTCTGCTCACTTCATCAGATGCCTCTGTGAGGGGCAGCTCCTGAAAGTTTGTGCCATTTAATAAAATTTGTCTGCGGAAAACGGTGCTATTAGACATCCTCAGATTTTTCTCGCCAGGCAAATTAACACCGCTCTCCTTGCGAAGGAGTTCTCCTTTCAGATTCGGAAGTAGATAGGAAGATGCATACCCAAAGGACGACTTAGCATCTTCTGGAGGGGATGTCCTTCTTCACCTTTCAAAACGGGGAGCATCAGCGGACGAAACCCCCTTCTAGCTACTGCCCAAATCTCGGGAGCCCTGCTTTCCTCCCGGCTCCTGAGACTGCATTCCCCATCATCCCCACCCCCTCCCCGGGCCCTAACCTGCCTGTAAGCATCAGAGGAAAGCAAGGCGGAGAAGGCGAAAGAAGAGAAAGTGAAGTGGGAAGGGGGGGAGGGAGAGAGAGGGAATTTTGCCCCGCCAAAACGCTTTGTACCTGGCGCGTCTCTGCGCAAACGAAGCGCTCGGTCTCTCCGTCTCTGCCTGAGCGCGCCGGGCCAAAGTCAGGCGTCGCAGGCGCGCGTCCCTTTCCCCTGGTCGTCCCGGCCCTCGCCCTTATATGGAGTCGGGGACTCCCAGCCCACCTCCCCTCCCTCGGGCCCTCCCTTCCTGCACACTTCGGAGCCCCGAGAGAGGGAGCCAGGTAGGGCTGGCGGGCTGGTGGGCAGACTGACTGGACTCGCTCCTGAGATCCAGTGGCAGAATTCGAGGCTCAATCCGAGCGCGGCTCGGTGCCAACCTCGCCCGCCGGCCTCGAAGCAGCCGCTCTCCAACTTCGGCTTCTCCTGGAAACCGCTGCAGCTGCGATAAGCTACTGAGGATGCGGTCAAAAAAGTCAGGATGGCGACCGCAGCGGTTTTTATACGCATCGCATATCTTGTGGGCATCCTACAATAGGAAGGGGCATCGCGTGAGCCTCCGCAACGGGTCGTTGTAGACCACTCTGGCGCATCCAAAGCAGCAGAGGGCAGGACAAGCAACAATGGTTGGAAAACTAATCAAGGAGAGAAGCAACCTGGAATTAAGGAGAAACTTCCTAACAGTGAGGACAATTGACCACTGGAACAGCTCGCCTCCAGAAATCGTGGGCGCTCCGTCACTGGAGGTTTTTAAGAAGAGATTGGACAGCCACTTGTCTGAGATTGTAGAGGTCCTCCTGCTTGAGCATGGGGCTGGACTAGAAGACCTCCAAGGTCCCTTCCAGCTCTATTCTATTCTATTCATCTTTGGAGACCCACCTCTAATGAGCCCCCCCCCCCGCTGGCTCATTTGATACTATCAATGGGCCAAACTGGCTTACCTCCCCAAGTCGGGTGATCCTGGAAGGAGAGGGGGGCGGGAAGGAGAGACAAGGGAACCCTTCCAGGTGGTCAATGCCCAAAGCTTCATGGCACTGTGGGATGGTGCTCAGGAACCCCTTAACTGTGTGGCATTAAGCACATAATGCATTTGCTTGCCATACCAGGCTTGACTGTGGCTAACATACAGAAGACTCCTTCCTCCTATTTTCTTCACAACAACAACCCTGTGAGATGACTTGGACCAGAGGTGGGTTTCAGCAGGTTCTGACTAGTTCTAGAGAACCGGTAGTGGAAAGTTTGAGTAGTTCGGGGACTACATGACGGCTATGGATCTGACCCAGCTAATTCATGGCCCTACGCACATGGGGGGGAAACACACTGGACCTGATTTTTGTCTCTGGACAGTGGTTGAGTGATCTCGAGATAGGGGACATAGTTATCGAGCCCTTGTCATGGTCGGATCACTCTCTCCTTCGCCTTGATCTTCGAACCGCTGCTCCCCGCCGCAGGGAGGCGGAACCGATAAGATGGTACCGCCCCAGGCGCCTGATGGAACCTGATAGGTTCCAGACGGAGCTTGGGCCAATGCCTGAGGTCTTGGCTCACGCCTCGACTGGAGACTTAGTGGCCGCCTGGGATAGGGCGGCCGCTGGAGCTCTGGATCGAGTCGTGCCTTTGCGGCCTCTGACCCGGCGCCGATCTCACCTGGCTCCTTGGTTTACTGAGGAGCTGAGGGAGATGAAGCGCCGGAAAAGACGCCTAGAGAGTAGTTGGAGGGCCAGTCGCACTGAATCTGACCGGACACTGGTAAGATCTCATATTAAGAATTACCTAGTGGCGATAAAAGCAGCGAAATGTACTCATCTTGCTGCTCTTATCGCGTCATCAGATAACCGCCCGGCCGCCCTGTTTAGGGTGACCCGCTCCCTGCTCCACCAGGAAGCGAGGGAGGACCCCTTGGAGGGGAGAGCCGAGGATTTTGTTCAGTATCTGTATGACAAAATCACTCAGATTCGGGAAGATCTGGACTCTGACTGGGTAGATCCAGTGGGGATGACGGAGGCAGGTCCTGAGAATGTTATCTGGGATGAGTTTGACTCTGTGACCCCTGAGGACGTGGACAGGATTCTGGGTAGACTGAATGCGACCACATGTTTGTTGGACCCGTGCCCCTCCTGGTTAGTGCTGGCTTCCCGGGAGGTGACGCGAGGCTGGCTCCAGGGGATTATAAATGCTTCATTGAGTGAGGGTGTCTTTCCCGCCGCCTTGAAAGAGGCGGTGGTGAGACCTCTCCTCAAGAAGCCTTCCCTGGACCCGGCAATATTGGCAAATTATCGTCCAGTCTCCAACCTTCGCTTTGTTGCGAAGGTTGTTGAGAGTGTGGTGGCACGACAGTTTCCCCGGTACCTGGATGAAACGACGTATCTAGATCCGTTCCAGTCGGGCTTCAGGCCTGGGTACAGCACGGAAACGGCATTGGTCGCGTTGGTGGATGATCTCTGGAGGGCTCGGGACAGAGGTTGTTCCTCTGTCCTGGTCCTATTAGATCTCTCAGCGGCTTTTGATACCATCGACCATGGTATCATGCTGCACCGGTTGGGGGGGTTGGGGGTGGGAGGCACCGTACTACGGTGGTTCTCCTCCTTTCTCTCCGACCGGTCGCAGTCTGTGTTGACAGGGGGGCAGAGGTCGACCCCGAGGCCCCTTATATGTGGGGTGCCACAAGGATCGGTCCTCTCGCCCCTTTTGTTCAACATTTATGTGAAGCCGTTGGGCGAGATCATCCGTGGTTTCGGGGTGGAGTACCATCAGTACGCTGACGACACCCAGCTGTACATCTCCACCCCGGACCACCCCAACGATGCCCTTGAAGTGATGTCCCGGTGCCTGGAGGCCGTACGGATCTGGATGGGGAGAAACAGGCTCAGACTCAACCCATCCAAGACCGAGTGGCTGTGGTTTCCGACATCCCGATATAGTCAGCTGGTGCCATCGCTGACTATTGGGGGCGAAGTATTGGCCCCCACGGAGAGGGCTCGCAACTTGGGTGTCCTCCTGGATTCACGGCTGTCTTTAGAAGAGCACTTGACGGCCGTGACCGGGAGGATTTTTCATCAGGTTCGCCTGATTCGCCAGTTGCGTCCCTTTCTGGATCGGGACTCGTTACGCACGGTCACTCATGCCCTCGTCACCTCCCGTCTGGACTATTGTAACGCTCTCTACATGGGGCTCCCCTTGAGGAGCACTCGGAGGCTCCAACTGGCGCAGAGTGCGGCCGCGCGGGTGGTGATGGGAGCGACGTGGCGCTCCCATGTAACGCCTCTCCTGCGCGAGCTGCACTGGCTCCCGGTGGTCTTCCGAGTGCGCTTCAAGGTTTTGGTCATCACCTTTAGAGCGCTCCATGGCTCAGGACCTGGTTATCTACGGGACCGCCTGCTACCACCAATAGCCTCCCACCGACCAGTACGCTCCCATAGAGAGGGGCTCCTCCGGGTGCCGTCGGCCAAACAATGTCGACTGGCGGCCCCCAGGGGGAGAGCCTTCTCTGTGGGGGCACCTACTATCTGGAACGAGCTCCCCCCCGAGATACGGAGGATTCCGGATCTGCGTACCTTCCGTCGCACGCTGAAGACGTTCCTATTCCAGCAAGCCGGCCTGACCTAAACTTCTCCTCTTTTAAATGGGAATTTTAAATTTGGTTTTAAATTATTGGGGTTTTAAATATGGTTCAGCCAAATTTATCTAACTTGTTTTATTTCTATTTTAAATTTTGTATTGATATGTTTTATTTCATGGCTGTTCACCGCCCTGAGTCCTTCGGGAGTAGGGCGGTATACAAATCTAATAAACTAAACTAAACTAAACTAAACTAAACATGTAAATACCACCTCTTACTGGCCCCGCCCGCATCTATTCTCTGCCTCCCAAGTCCCAGCTGATCAGGAGGAAATGGGGATTTTGCAGTAGCCTTCCCCCAGGAGTGGGGACAGAATGGAGATTTTACAGTATCCTTCCCCTGCCACGCCCACCAAGCCATGCCATGCCATGCAACACCCACCAAGCCACACCCACAGAACCAGTAGTAAAAAAATTTGAAACCCATCACTGGCTTGGACTGAGAATGACTGGCCCAAAATCACCTAGCTGACTTTATGCCTAAGGGGGAACTACAACTCACCATCTCCTGGTGATTGGGCCAAAGTCATCCAGCCAGTTTTCATAGCTAAGGCAGAACTAGAACTCTCTGTTTTCTGGCTTCTAGCCTGATGTCTTAACCACTAGACCAGTGGTCCCCAAGTGTGATGGACTGGTGGGGGTGAGGGGATGGTTCTGTGCAAGAAGCAGGCATGTGCGTTCACGTGCACAGGTCCATTTGCACAAGTGGAGCTGCACATGTGTGCTCGCCCACCGCTTGTGCGGACTCGGTTCCGAATGGGCCATGGCCCCGTAGTTGGCTGCGGCCCAGAGATTGTGGATCTCTGCACTAGACAAACATGAATATAGCCTGACTCAGAGTCAACTCTGACTCTGCTCACAATAATCAAAGTAAAGAAATGTATTTATGTAAGAAAATGTATATGGCCACCCAACTCACTCTCAGTGACTCCAGGCAGTTTACAACAATACATTGCAACAGAACCGGTAGAAGATGAAGAAGGCAATGAAGCAAAGGGTCCCACTCTCTCTCTTATACCAAAGCCTGGGTGAAAAGATTTCATGGCAGGGGTGAAATCCAGCAGGTTCTGACAGGTTCGGGAGAACTGGCAGCAGAAATTTTGAGCAGTTCGGAGAACCGGTAGTGGAAATTTTGAATAGTTCAGAGAACTGGCAAATACCATCTCTGGCTGGCCCCAGGGTGGGGTGGGAATGGGGATTTTGCAGTATCCTTCCCCTGGAGTGGGGTGGGAATGGAGATTTTGCAGTATCCTTCCCCTGGAGTGGTGTGGGAATGGGGATTTTGCAGTATCCTTCCCCTGGAGTGGGGAGGGAATGGAGATTTTGCAGTATGCCATGCCCACCAAGCCACGCCCACCAAGCAACACCAAGCCCACCAAGTCACGCCCACCAAGTCACGCCCACAGAACTGGTAGTAAACAATTTTGGATTTCACCACTGCTTCATGGCACTTGTAAATAACAACAAGGAGGCTGGGGAGTGCAAGGGCTGCTGCAGGGAAGGCGCACTTCTGGGATTCTGAGGAATGATATGGTTGAATTGAAGGATTAAGGAATACTCAAAGGAACCCAGAGCATGTAGTGGGAGACAGGCCATCTTGCAAGTAAAACCGGGCCCCATGTTGTGTAGGGCAAGGGTCCCCAACCCCCGATCCATGGACTGATACCAGTCCGTCG